CTTAAGCGCATTAAGACTTAGAAATACGATGACAAAAGAGCGATTAAACAACTTACCAGTGATAACGATAGAAAAAGAACTATTGCAAAGTGCCAATCCACAATTTTATAAAGTCATAAGTAAATTTGCAAATTTAAAAAACGGACGAATAAACCTGTTTTATTTTTATAATACAGGTTTATTCGTCTGTTTTTTACATTGACTATGTTTTTATAAATATTTTGTTAGAAGTGGAGACAAATGAAAAGCTGGGGGCGTTGTTTTATATGTAAACAGATAAGTTGGCTGGATACCTTATGAAAATGTGTTTTTATATTTTTTCATATTTATAATATTCATAAACCAAGTAGGGACCACTTTGTTGATTATTAGGTAAATATATCACTTTGTTTTTTTTCCGTTAATGCATTTTATTATAAAAACAATTTTTAAAGTTCCGATATTATTATAAATAATACAATTTTTTAATTTAAGGTTATAGTAGGGCTATTGGCCTTTGCCAATAGCCCTACAAGATCTTCATCTTCATAATAAAACATTACGTGGAAATTTATTCCTATTTATTATTTGAGAGCGGGTTAATAAAATATCCAAATAGTTGCGTATCATTTTTTATAAAATCTGAATGAAGAATGAATATCCTGCTCCTGAACATCTGTTTTTCTATAATATTGTAATGCAACTAAAAATCTTCTTCCTCGCTCACCAAGTAAAAAAACCACGGGCCCCACCTATTCACAAAGTCACGAGCCACCACTGGAAACCTGAGTATTAAAATGAAACTTTCGGTGTGCCAAAATGGCTCCCACGAAACTGTTAATTAAACCAAGAAATTTAAGCTAAAAACTGCCGAAATTATCCCTACATTAACATAAATTAAACATTAACAACTTTTATCAAAAGTTATATCGTTTATATAGAGAGCAAGCGCCTACTTATGTTTAATTAGGGTTTTAATTTTGAATAATTTAGGGGGATAATTAAAATTGACTGGAGTACGGTTTGAGCTCAACTTTGCCAACTCCCACCCGAAGTTTCTCCTCCACTTGAACAGTGGCGACACATCAGGGACTGCAGGACCAAAATAATTTAAAAAAAAATTGTTGCCATGAATGAACTCATTCGATAAGAAACATAAATTTATTTAATAATTCACACATTAATTCTTTCACGCCTAAGAAAATGGTTGGTGTGATGAAAGCAACAAAGGACTCTCAAGATCTGTATCAAAAGGACATGTTGAATTTATATCCTAGGCATACTGTTAACATTGACGTACAGGGTAATGTTAATGAATTATAATTTGATATTTATTAAATAAATAATGATGAGGCAGAAAAAAAACTGTGACAAATCGGAATTGTTATAAATAGATACACATAATATTTACATTTAACCAGCTCGACCAATTTTTATACCGACGCTCGATGGTCTACCGGTCCAATATAAATACATTGCCACAAGCCGCCACTGTACTTGAAGCATTAAACCGGTGCCCGAGTCGCGTGGAAAAATCGGGAAGGTGGTGCGCCAATGGTCGGGTCCCCCGTGGCAATCTGCGAACTAAGTCTATCTGCCATTAAATTTGCATCGAGTTAAGTGTTCCTCCTCAAAAGAGAACTCCTTGAGCGGAAGAAAACTTCAGACTTCCGCAATATTCCCTAAGAAGCTTAGTCAGCCCCGTTTAAGTGCCCGATATTGCTACATGATCAGCAAACAGCGTTAGAGAGAGAGATAAGAGCGCTGGCTCTTAAAAAATATCTGCGGAGATTTCAGGAGAGCTACTTACAGTTCCTTTTTTGCCTTCCGCCGCAAGCGGATCTAATAATAAGCAACGTATAATACCTTGATAATTAGATCTGTTTATTGTTTATGTTTTTCAGTACAAAATATAATTAACAGAAATACATAAAAAATGTGAATTGTCTTAATAGTTATTATTTATTAGATCAGATCGATCAGAACCTGGTATGCCATTGTCAATAGTCATTTGGTGTTGAGAAATTCTGAAAAAATTTATGTAAAATATTACTACTTATGTGTTAAGTGCGAATAAGTAGTCATTATTACTGAAGCAATTTTTTCAATTAAATTAACAGCTATATGAAAAGAAACCTTTTTGGAATAATAGTCTTTTTCATCATTCCAGTTTATGGGCCAGGGAAAAGAGCTGGGAAATTACCATTTCGCGACTGCTGAAGCTGAATTTAGCACTATAGATGCTAAATATTATGTACAATAACATATTAGTTTCCACAGTCATAAAAATGGGGGGGAAGATTGTTTACAGGCTGGTTAATTGTATAATGTTTACGTCAATTCACATTTTTCGCTTATAACTTTTTTCCGTTCATTTCCACGAGAAAATAGTAAAGTACTTTTTTTCGTCTTCAAAAAACCTACAAAACTAGCCTTCAAGCGTCAAAAAATATTTATTAGATCAAAAGTTATAAACAGAAGAAGTTTATTTATGACTTTTGAATTAAACATTTATAAACTGCGTAGTTATTACCAGAATGTTTTGGCATCGCATCCTCTCATTCCTTATCACTGTCTAATAACTCACACGAAATCTGGAATTGGTAAGTTGAATAGTTTACAAGTTATGGCCTTATAAAAAAAGTAACTAATTATTAGTCTGGACGATCCCGAGCATCTTCCACAATGCCCTGATTTTTTTCATTGTAGATTTCATAATAATACATTGAAATCTGTATTTTTTTTTTAAATTTCAAATTTACAACCTAGAATTTTTTTTTATTTTTTAGCCTTAGCTACAAAATGAAATATACGACGCACGCGTGTTATATAGTTATATATTATTACATATTCGGAAAGTTTATGAAAAAAGCTTTAAGTTAAAAAAAAATCGTCAAGATTCGTTGAAAAACAACGAAGTTACAGACTGTCAAAGTTGACGGCCTATTGTTAAACAAATTAGGTTGGTAGCGGCAAAAAAAAATACTGTCATAACCGGCGACCCGAGTACTTTCCCAGATAAAAATATTTTATTTGTGGAAGTATGTTAAGTGCATAAAAACATTGTCAAAAGTCAGTGTGTCGCTTGATTTTCGGCGAGCCGTGACGCGGCGGAAGGGTGGGGGAAGCGAACGACAGCGAGTCCGAAGAAAATGACGATAATATTCATAGTCTTGCCGTTAAAAAAGCGAAATTCGCTTGAAAATAATATATTTGACAGTCTGTAACTCCGTTGTTTTTCAACGAATCTTGACAATTTTTTTTTAACTTAAAGCTCTTTTCATAACCTTTCCGAATATGTAATAATATATAACTATACCACGCGCGTGCGTCGTATATTTCATTTTGCAACTACGGCTAAAAAATAAAAATCTTTCTAGATAGCAAACTTGTTTTAAAAAAATGATACATTTCAATGTATTATTATGAAATTAGTTAATTTGTTTATAAGGCCATAACTTTTAAACTATTCAACTTACCGATTCCAGATTTCGTGTGAGTTATTAGACAGTGATAAGGAATGAGAGGATGCGATGCCAAAACGTTCTGGTAATAATAACGCAGTTTATAAATGTTTCATTCAAAAGTCATAAATAAACTTCTTCTGTTTATAACTTTTGATCTCATCAATATTTTTTGACGCTCGAGGGCTAGTTTTGTAGGTCTTTTCAAGACGAAAAAAAGTACTCTAATGTTTTCTTATGGAAATGACGGAAAAAAGCGAAAAACGTGAATTGACGTAAAAATTATACAATTAACCAGCCTGTATCTTCCCCCCATTTTTATGACTGTGGAAACTAATATGTTAAGTACATAATCTACAGTGGTAAATTAAGCTTGCCGAAACAAAAAATCGCATCCAACTCCATATTTCCTAAATAAAGAAAAAAAAATGAAAACCGTGCCACAAATAATATCTTCACATAATAACATCAAAGGATGTCAACTATCAGCGCAATAAATTTTTTTAAAGTCTACCAAAGAAGAGTTATTTTTCCAGTTTCAATGAAATCGTGAAGATTTCTTTAAAATAATGAAAGGCATCAATTGAGATCTTAAATTTTACATAGGTTGAGGTACCCAGATGAGATTTTCAAATTTTTACCACGGGATAAACTACAAAGGTACATACATCAATCACAGCTTCCCATTACTTGTTACAGACATACTCATTAAAAAAAAGGTTGGAAACCACTGGTCTAAAATCTAAAGAATCAGTTCCAAATCAATAAATAGATTTTGACGTAAGAAAATAATATTTCATATCTGGAAAATACAAATTTTCCCTAGACGTATTTTAAAAAGGGTCCATTCTTTTTCATATTAATTATTTTTTTACAGAAGCCTTAATTTGAATTTAAAATTAGACATGTCCCATATTTCAGAAAGCGTCAATAATTGGTCAATTTTAATTCAAAAAGTGTAAATTCATTTTAGTCAAATTAGTCAATTCGTGTCTAAAACGTCATATCCAAATAATATGTGCCTGTAATCAATTGCTACAGATTCTATTAAATTTGAGTATCCAGGAAATGTTGGTCCAATAAATATTTGCTTGTAAAGGTGACTGTCTTTAAGAAGGATATAAAATTTTGGTCGCTGGATTCATAACTCCAAAAAATAGATTTAAAGTCTAATCCATTATCAACATCCAAACGTAAAATAATATCAAAGGTCAAAGCTTCTCCTTTTTCTCAATGACAATCAGTTAATGCCAAAAAAAAATTTAATGGAAAGTTGTTGTGATCAGAAAAGAGTTAGACCATTTTAACAATGTGTATTTAATAAGCAGGACTATTTGATGAAAACTCTAAAGTAGTCAAAACCAAAAAATCACAAAAAACTTTGCAAATTACATTTTTTAGCAGCAACCACAGTTCTTCATTATACAATTTTATTATACCGAATTCTAATTTAATATTTTTCATTTATATTTAACGTGGATACAATAGATGTCCATAACCCAAAATTTCACGCAGCAAATAGTGTAGTAAATCTCTTATTGGTGTTTTTTGTTACAGGCTAGGCCTTATGTCACATTTTGGCGCTCTAGCGGCGGCAAGTAGCAGATATGCAGCGCTGTGCGGCACACCGACTGACCCCAGAACATTGCCGTGGTACTGGGGCAGAATACCCTCACAAATTCCTCAGGATAAGCCTAGCCCAAAAGGTAAGCTCCAAACCATTAAAAAATAAGACACATTTGAATGTATAACGTAAAACATTTATTTGAATAACAGAAATGTAAATATAATTATAATATATTGTCAAATGTGAATGCATAATAAATATTTAAATAACGAGCGTTCAAATAAAAACGTGGTCGAAGTTGGCTCTGACACATTGGGCGTAGGGAGTAGCTTATAGCGACCAACTTAACCTCATTTCTCAACAAGCTGTATAGCAGCTGTCAGTTTCAATAACGTTAATGACTATATAACTTTATTTTAAAGAATAATCGTGATAACAATAACAAACAATTAAAGGAGCTGCCTCCTTGTTATAACAATAAATGAAAGCAGCTGCTGAAAGCGTCCTCCTCCTTGTTCCAAGCACTTTTCACACCTGTTCCTCAAAGAATTAAAGACATTTTCTAAGATGCTCGGGGTATTGTTAATTTCACGAATCTTGTCTATAAGTCGAGCCTGCAGATGGTTTAAATCAGGAATAGGCAGTTCAAAAATAGTGTTTTTAAGATAAGGCCACAAAAAGAAATCACACGGCGTAATATCACATGACCTCGGTGGAAATTCATGTTCAGCATTGAGACTTATTAGTCGATTTTGGAAAACTTCCCTCAACATATTCATCGTCTCGCCTGCCGTATGTGCCCTTGCGCCATCTTGTTGAAAGTAAAAGTTTGTAATTTCGTTTTCTTCCAGCTGGTTAACAAAAGGAGCGATAATTTCTTCTCTATACCTTTGCGCAGTAAGAGTACCATTAAAAAAAATAGGTCCATAAATCCTCCTTCGATTGAGAGCACACCAAACTCCAATTTTTTGAGCGTGTAGAGGGCCCTCGACAAAAAAGTTATCTGGTTTTTCAGAATACCACATTCTCATATTCTGTGAGTTTACGTAACCACTTAAATGAAACCAGGCTTCATCAGAAAAAAAGGTGATATTATGAAGTTCACCGTAGTTGTTTAAAAACCATTCACAAAATACAGCCTGTCGCGGAAAATCAACTTCATGAAGTTCTTGCTGACAAGTTAAACGATAGGAGAACAAACGCAAATCTTTTTTTAACACTGTGTGGCAGGTACCGACTGATACTCCCACCATTTGTGATAAAACACGTACAGAAGTTCTTGGCGCATTTTCCATTATTTGTTGGACATTTTCTTTTAATTCTTCAGTCCGCTTTTTAGGTCGGCCGCTTCCTTCTTTTCTTGTTACACTGCCCGTTTCATGAAAAACATTAACACAACGCTGAACTACGCTTTGAAAAATTTTGTACTCAACAACGCCGGGAAATTGATTTTGAAATTCTATGAAACATTCCTCAATAGAATATTTCTAAAGTAGGACTCTATGATAAACACTTTTTGTTCTTGAGAAAACACCATTTTAAACGCTTTTTAAAACGAAAATATTCAAATTGATAGCGGCGATATAGCGCTTTGACAGATGACGTTTAAGTTCATTTGCTATATGCTACGCCCTACGTCCAAATTTTCAGAACCAACTTGACTACGTTTTTATTTGAACGCTCGTTACTAATAAGCCTTTTGGCATTGTTCCAGAGATATCTATGAACATTTTACTTTTACTCTTACCTGTACTACTGTGAACAATGAAATTCTTCGAATCTAAAGTAGTGACACTTTAGTAAGAAGTGTTTACTATTTTCATATTCATTTAAAAAATATTAAAATGTAGGGAATTCCCACATAAAATAATATTTTCTGTAAAATTGTTAAATTAATGGATTTTTTATATACATTTACTTTAATTTAAACACCGAAGTTTTCAGATTTTTTAAGTTCTTTTTTGCATGAGCATTACTGTGCCACTTCTTTAGTGTTACTATTATTATTATTTGTTGTAAAGTAATTGTAAAAGATTATTTATAATTAATCGCTGTCATAAAAAGACAAAAGAACACTATAAAATTTGAAAAAGCTTTGTCAATATGACCAAAATGTGAATGAAAAAGGCATTCTTGATAAAAGTTTTTGCTTGTTTAGAAAATACGAATCACCATGACGAACCTCAATTTTACCTTTACAGGGTGGGTCAGAAACACCAAAATGTTATTTTGCGTAAGAGTAAACATACCTTATTTCGCAAGATACGAAAAAAGGTATTACATACATATAAGAAAATCTTTGACGGTATTTAAAAAAACAACAGAAGTCATTTGTGCCTCCAAATTTTTGTCCAAGTTTACGCAAGTAGTAAGAGAAGTAACTAATAAGAGAATAAACATCATATGATCTCTCTAGCTATAGAAATAGGCAAATAAAGTGTAAACTCTTAGAGCTACTTTTAAAACAAAGTGTCTTTACAGGTTTTGATAACAAAAAATTAATTTTCGAAACGTCAACAATGTGTATTTTGTAATTTGTACTGTTATTTTCAGTGTAAGATTTTTGGTTAGGCAAAATTATTTTCATAAAAAATAACCCTGACTGACACAAGAATTTATTACATTAATTTTCATGTTTTCGGAAGATATTTTACTTTACTTTGAAAAACTAATATACTTTATACAACTTTTACAACACGATAAAAACTCTTTTGTGCGACAATATTTCGAAATTGGTAGGTAATATTTGATTATTATAACAATAACTGAAAAACAAAAAAAAAATAGTTAAAAGGAGAAAGGTGAAGTTCTAACTTAAAAAATTAAAACCTGTAAGATAATTTCCATTTTAATTAGCATTGCTTCAATAGAGTATACAGATCATTTTAAGCAAAATGAAGTTTCTAAAAAAATAATTTTTTTCCTATTGTTTTGTGAATGGAAATAAAGAATAATTTTGCAACCTATATAGGAAAAAACTAAATAGTAATCGAAGAAAACTTTTTTTTTAGAAAACGATGAGGATTAAAGAGTATATTCATTGCAAATAATTTATTTACATTTTTTATTTCAGTAAGATTCAACAACAGTTTCATTTTGTCTTTAACCCCCGAAGAGTTCAATATTGTTTTCGTATATGTAATGTAATGGGCTCATTGAGTATTTTTTTTATTTGCTTAACGGAAAGATATTGCAATTTTAAGGTTCTCTGCAAAAAAATTAGAATTTTATATCGCCTACAAGTCAATCGGTGGGTGTGACATCACCGCATGGGACACCAATGCCGCATGCTTACGTGTGTTGTTAGTCAGTCGGGTAGTCGGGTTTTAGTTGCCTGTTAAATTTCGATTGAGTACGTTAAGATACCGAATTTTGTTAGCAATATGGAAGACACAGAACAGATAAAAATCACAAATATTGTATTGTTCCCTAGTGTGAGAGAACTAGTGTAAACATGCATAAGAAAATAATAATGTCCCCGTAATTCTGTCGTACAGATCTAAAAACAATAGTCTATTAGTCTCTACTTTGATTTGTTTTTTTTTAATATATTTTATAGTTTATTACTNTAATAAATACGTTTGTATCCTCTAGAAACACTATACACTTGTATTTTCCATTGTTGATTCTTTTTGTGAATGTTATACAAATACCTATAGGTACTAAGTATTTAATAAATACTCGTAAAAATGCATAATAAATATTATATTATTAGATACTATATCTATAAGATATAAGGTAGATCTTATGTAGTTTCCATGTGAATAAAAATGGTAATAAGAATTTTGTATTTTGATTAGGCAAATCTTTGAAACCTGTGACAGAAACGGTTTAGTCCAATTAAATTAGACCTGAAATCCTTATTCTTATTTACTATTCTTATTGTACAAAAACATCAAATCTTTCGCTAAAAACGTAATTTAAAGAAGTTTTACACGTTATTGAAACGGAACCTTTGCATTTTCACTCCTCTCAACTCAGCACTGATAAAGTCGTGGTTTCTATTAAAAAAATCCATAACCATTAAAGCAAATGGCAAATTAGAAGAATCAAATTTACAAAATTTGCTTCCATTTTCTAAATTTAATATGCACAAACGCTAAAACATTTTGTAGATGCAAAAACTCTGGAAGTAGCGCCAAGCCGGCTGACCGTCCCATGCGGTGACGTCATTGCATTGCCACGGCTGAGACAAATATTCGCATTTTAAAAATCATATAGCTTGAAAACCGCTCAACGGATTGAGTTAAAATTTTCAAGATCGCCTAATCATGAGCAATACTTTGTGAATACAAGATAAGAACGTTTTTAAAAATTTACTGAATGACCTCATTATTTCAAAACTTTTTTAATATTGTGTTCAGAATTCAAGTAATCGTGGATACTCTTTAAACAATTATTCAGTATCTTTTCTGTGACCATACACACCTCTGACCGTAGATACCAAATTTGTAACGCATAACATGAACCATTACTAAATTATAAAAGTAAATAACTTTTAAAGATACAAACTCTCTAATATTGCAAGTGCATCAAATTGCAACTGTTAGTGGAAGGTTTCTCGAACAAACAGAATTGCGTAATCAACTCTAAGCCCTCGAAAAGGCGATTACCAACGGCATATTTTTATTGTTGGGGCGATTTTCCATTCCTCATACTTAGATGTCGACGGTGTTCGAGCAGCATTTCTACGGCTTACGTCGATTAGAACTCAAACTTACCGTAAGGCTTCCGAAACCATTTCGTGCTGTTTAAATACCCTCGAATATACTGCTAAATCTGTCACGGACTTGCCACTTGAGATTATTGGGACGCGCTGCTACGTCAGCGGGAACGACTGCTACTTCGAAATCAATTTCGCTTAATACGGAAGCCTTTTTGGGGCCCCCTTTTTAACTTAGGTGGCGGCGAACAGATTAATCTACGCCGGTAATAATTAAGTTATTTTACCTATCCTCTTCGGTTACGCATTTTAAGAGATTTCCCAAGTAGTATATTAGTGAAACGAATACACTGAAGATGAATTTTTGTATTGGGAGTCATGAAGGCTTGGAAAAATGCAATAAAATTACCAGGGTCGTATTTAAAAGAAATTAAGTTGATGATGGTCCTGGAGAGACGAAACGTTACATATAAAAA